ATTCTTTATTTTTGAAAGCCGATAACCGATATGTTGGCCGATAAATCTATATCCAAATTTTTATATACTTTTTGAGAGCCTGATTATAAAAAAGGTCTCATCATTAAAAGCCACATCCCAAACACTTCAACATAAGCAGTCTAGTTTGAACAGTGTACGTTTTAAAAATAATTTTACTCTCCTATTACCAAATTTCATCATAAATCTTACAAATAAATAAAATAATGCATAAATAATACAAACAAGTCATCTCATGTCAAGTGTCTCCGAAGGAAATAATGCATTATTTATCGGTTTTAAGATATCGGCCAAATTTTCTTATCAGGCCGATACCGATAACAGAAAAAATTATCATTTATCGGCCGAAACCGATATGGTGGCCGATATATCGTGCATCCCTATTATCAATGTTGAAAACGATTGTGCTGGATTTTTGTGGAAACCATGATACATTTTATTACACTTTGATGAAGAGAACAGCATTCATTTAAAATATATATTTATATTGTCACTTTTGATCAGTTTAATGCATCCTAATAATGAAATGTGGGGACATCAGTAATGACTGGGTGATGAATCAAATGAATCATAGAATCAGTATTGAATTAGTTTAACATACCAACTCAAATTTTGGCACTGAAGTTTAAATCAGAGACTCTATTAAAATGTGTCTTGTGGAGTTGCAAGACAAGTTTGTGAAATTAGTCTAATGTGATGGTGATGGACTTTTTTTTCTGTTGAAATGCTGTATATCTCAATATATCTCAACACAGAATGCAGGAACTACTGTAATGAAGTCGTTTGTGAGTTGATTTCCCTAAAAAGTGTAAATGCTGTGATTCTGTGGTGTTATTAAAACATTGCTTTGAATGTTGAACAGTGGTATGGGTTTGAGGTGGGACTATCTGTTTGGCTGACCAATGGGGTGGGAAATGCATCTGAAAAGGTGTAGGCAAATGTTGAGTCTTTGTTCCCTTCCTCTCTCACAGAGCTGCAATTCAAGGTGACCCTTACAGCCTCTCTGAACCCTCAGTCCACTAGCGAGCCCACTGAACTGCGCTGTGAGGTGCTCGACCTCCTCCACCTCCAAGATGGCCGCCTGGGCGTGACCTGGTCTTACTCTACAAACACACCTGGAGATGTGTCTCAGAAGAAAATCACTATAGCCTCTGTGAATGAGCAAGGAGCTCTGATTGCAAGCAGTGAGTACCAGCAGAGGCTGGACAGTGGGGACATAGCAGTGACCAGGAGAGAGTCTAACATCTTCGTTCTGCGAATGCTTCAGACTCGAGATGCAGACATGGGCTCTTATTCCTGTGCAGTAACAGCATGGAAACCCGCTCAGCAAAGTGGATGGGGAAAAGCAAAGGAGGTCCAGTCAGCGCCTGTCACTGTTCAGTGGACACCAAAGAGTAAGCACTAAATTTTGGGCCTTTTTCTTTCTGAAGCTTCCCTTTAGGTCTGTTAGATATAATTTGGTAAATTTGGCCATGAAACACTTTCAACATGTTGCTGAAGTCTTTAGCCAGAAGCATACTTTAAGCAAGTATGCAAACCTGACTGCTTGGCCAACACATTTTGAAGCGTTTGGTCCTATTAAGAGTATGTATGTTCTTGAACTGCATTACTGCTCTTTATGCTTACACAACTAGGAGATAGAGTTACTTTAAATGCCTGTTCCTTCAAATCAGATGTGTTATTATTCAATTAGCAAGGATCCGCAAGATTCTCTTCAAACGGTTGCTCTACCTTGACCGTAATTGATCTCAAGGAGAAAATTGGACACAGAAGAATGCTAATGCTAATGTCTGCTCATTGCAGCAGTGCAACTCGTATTTTGTGTTGCATTCAGAAATCAACCACACAGTTTGTGTAGCTAGCTAAAATTGTTTGCCCTCTTAAATTTTTGAATAGTATGTTTCGGGCCTTTACTTAACTGTCCCCAGACTGTTTTTAGTATTTGCGGTCACTCTTCTGATATTTCATTTTTACCCCATGAGCTAAGTGCTCCCAGCAACTGTGACAGTTGTATCACTAAGCGCACTGTTTTAAAAAGCATGCATCAAAGCTTGATGTTTGAAAGTCTCCAATGTCTCTCATTTTTCAGCTTTCAATAAGGGATTAGAGTAAATGGCTTTAATTGTGTTTGTGATGGCGTCTTCTCTGTGAAGGCATATTTAGCTCACAATAGCCGCTCTGTCTTGGCCTAGACACTCTCCATTGCACCCTTGATTTCACTTAGGCTGTGTTCTGAAGCTATATATGATACTGACGAAATGTACATGGTGGCAAGCACCTAATAAGGAGTGACAGCATCTTTTAAATCTGTTAGTATTCTTCGTTTTCCATTTCTGGAAGGGAAGAACTGTATGGAAAAAATGGGAAATTTGGCACACTAATTGAGAAGTGTCTAAACATTCCTGATGGCAATTTTGGTCTCTTTTTTGGTCGCTTTACCAACAGCTTATTACCCCTGAAGTGTTATCTAGAAACTTAATTTACTATAATTGTTTTGATGCTGCTCCTAAAAATGGTAAATTCTTTACCAAAATATGATCAGATGATGTTCAGATGAAGCCTCATACATTTTTGAGGGATTTCCAATAAGTCTCTATCAAATAAATCCAAGAAATCTCTTTCGATGTTGACTACAGAGCCTCCAAATATGAGGTCTTAAGCAGATACTGATGTGTGCATGTGAAATAGGAAAAAGAAATGATTTGTGCAGCTCCTGGAAACTATAAATATCTAAAAAAATATATATTAAAAGTCGCTCAAAATTATATTACATAGGTAAAACTCTGTGACGAAAGTTGATTGTTCTCAAACTGTATTTTGCAATAGTTTAATGAGTATTTATGTGATCTTTTTAGTACCAGTTTTGCGAGTAGCAGCCCATCGTGTGAGAGAAGCCTCAACTGGTGGATCCACATTTGAGATGAGCTGTCAGCTGACTGGTCAGAACCTGAAGAATCCCGGCTACTCTGTGCTCATTCGCTTTGAGGAGATCTTGGGAGGCAAGTCCCGCAAAGTGTTGTCGCTTAGCCAAGACTCAGTCTTGCAGCTAGAGGAGTGGAGCGAGCCGAGCCGCATTGACAGCGTGGTTCTGGAGAAGACCGGGCAGCTCGAGTACCGCTTCCGTTTGTATGGGGCCCAGGTCACAGATCGGGGGTTCTATTATTGCGACGTCACGGCCTGGACACGGGATCAGACCCAAGACTGGATCAAAGCCATCAGTGCGGAGTCCAACAAGATTCAGATCGCCTTTGTACACACAGGTATTATCATGCTAACTACACTAGACTCATAATACTCAAAAGGATGATGCTGAATTGCCTGTAGGTATGTTTACTGCTGAGGTCATGTTACCCTCTCACACACTCTAATTCTGTAGTTCCCTCGTTCTGTCTGATTCTGGATGACTAGACCTCTATAGTCTTTCCCTCAGGGCAGATTCCTGCTGCCTACAGAGACACTGTCACTCTCTCTCGTTCATAGGCAGCTTTTTAAAACATCATAGACAGGCTCCTGATGTGAAAGCTGGTTCCAAAAGCTAAATTAAGGCCAAATTCACATGATAAATCCAAGGTGGCAGACAAAACGCGTGAAATATATGTAGAGTTCTGGAGTGATGACGTATTTTTATAGGCCAACCCAGAAGTTCACATCACCTTGGTTTCAGTTTTCCATTGGCTTTTGGATTATTGTGGAGCATAAGCTTTGTGATCAGCAAAAGTTTATGATTCTTAAATGCTTTGTTCATCGTGATAATGTTCAGAACTGAACACAACTTTTATGAATTTTGAAGCTGGAATACAATCACCAGAAGTAAAAAGCTAATTGTAGGCTTTAAACGAACTACACCACGATCTCATGACTTCAGCGTCACTATCACTAAGCTTCCCACAACTCTTTGTCTTTTTTTAAAAAGTAATTTCCCTGAAAGTTTGAGTTAGAATAGTTTGCAAAAGCACGATCATAAACGCAATAAGGTTGTGGACTAGTGAGTAAATGTCTACCTGTTCGGCAAGATGATGTTTAATGTCCCCAACAACCTTTAGTCCCATTTAGACACTTGTTAGCAAGCGCCTTTTTCAAGTCAAGCAAAAGCTTTAAAAAAAATCACAAGAGAGTAGTAATGATGAATTGTGTGTCGTAGAATAAAGCTTGAAAATATCCTGAGCTTGTGTTGACAACAGACCTTATTTCAGGCATTTAACCAATGCCCCATTTAAAAAAAAATCCATTAACTTAAGGACCGGAAGTGCTAAAAAAATGAATTTGTTTCTGGGTTTTGTACTACAAAAGTATGTAATCCCTGCAGCTCTCTATCTCTCATTCGTTGATATGTATTCATGGTTAAGTATCTATAATATTAGTTCAGAATAATTCAAATTGACCATTGTACCCAACATTTGTGTGTGCTACATATTTTTATGTGCAATATTGCATCATTAGCTTAGCAACATGCTAACGGCAAACTTTTGAAATCAATTCAAGAGGCAGATCTCTCTTTTGTAGCACATAGGGTTGTTCACTATGTAGAGTTTTACAAATCAGTCACTTTTGAGGTTAATTTCCATTAGGGTGCTGCCTTAAAAGACACTTGCCTATTTAGGCAGTAGATAGCGAGGCAGATCAATAGGATTTGGGAGCCTCTCTCTCTCTCTCTCTCTCTCTTACTCTGTTAGCATATGAATTCAAACAAAAGGTTGAAGAATTTTTTTTGGGGGGGAAATATTTAGAAATATGAACATCCAGTTAAAGACTCTGAAATCTAGGTAGACTTTTAAAACTTTTAATAATTGTTTCTCACGCAGGTCCAGTATTCAACATATCCATTCATTCAGAAGCAAACAATGTGTTACCGGGGGACACGGTCCAAATGATGTGCATCATATCCGTCCTGGATGCTTCTCCTAACACTGGCAAGTACTGTTTGTGTAATGTCTATATATTTTGTATAAATACAATTTATATAATATACAGTTTTTAGAAAGTTTAAGATAAACTAATTGCTTAGCATAAAAAAAACAAAAAAAGATCAAGCTAAATGTAATTTAAATAAATGCCACTGGAGTTTTTCTCTCTTCTAATTTCAAACCTTTCAAACTTCTTTTTGTAAAACCTGCTTGTATTTGTTATACATCAAATAGGATTTAGTTGGGGTTTTAATATCTAATGCAATTCATTCATTTTAATTGTGGTTTGTCAAAATACTTTTTTAGGATCACTGTATCTTTATTTTTAGACACATTGAAGTAATGAAAATTATATTTTACTGTACAGAAATATATTTTTGGGGAAATATTTGACATGTTCCTGACAGATTGTTTGAGATACATCCCCAGTGAACTTATATCTCCCAGTTCATTTTGTGTCACATTCTACTACTAGCTTTGATTTATAAAAGGAACAGAATCTCAGAAGTAACCAAGTGCTTTCTTAGCTTTTTTAATTATTTAAAGTTTTTTTGTAAAACACTTTAGCTTCTCACCAGTTTTTTTTTGTTTCTAAATTCCTGCTCTGTTTTTTGCCTTAATCCACTCTGACCTTGTAAGCTGTCTGGATGGCATGTTTTAATATCAATATCCATGTTTAAATCCTTAATTAAGGCATCTACATTCAGTTTGTTTATCAGCACCTAATTACCCCCCTTTCTTTATTAGTCTCCTTTTTTTCTTCAAAGTCACATGCTGTTGTTCATGTTTTGTGGGTGTGTTTTTGCAGTTATTCACAGTTGATATTATAAACTAATCGGAGCCAGTTGTAAATGATCACCTGAACTTTACCCCCTGAGTCACATCCTGCATTGGAGTGACAAAGCGTCTTTTCCTTATGTTCCTGTTGCTTGATAGTTACTCATAAATACTCTATGCACAGTTATGTGAGGTAGGAAATTGAATTTAGCAATCTTATAAAAGTGCATTAACATTACATTTGAAACAGTCGTAGTCAACAGAGCAAGCATACTTTTTGCACACATTTTTGGTGAAAATCTGTACAATGGATTTTAAAATATGATTTGGTGTGGGCAGACTAATTGCTTGTCTGTGGAATATTGTCATGTCACAAATGGTTAAGACGTGGTGTAAAACCTAAAACTGCCTTTCAAGCACTGCTGTTTCCTACACTCTAAAAAATGCTGGGTTAAATACAACCCAGTGCTGGGTAAAATAGGGACAAACCCAGCAATTGGGCTGTTTTGACCCAGCGGTTGGGTTACTACCCAGAAGGTTGGGTTAAACATTTATCCCAACCGCTGGGCATTTTTTAGAGTGTACAGGGAATGCAATGAGTTGTATTAGATGTGAGTGGTTGGATGCTTAGTTTTTTAGTGATCAAGTGATACAGAGCTGCAGGCAGCCTGCTCAGTCTGCTGTGATCGTATCAGTCAGAATTGTTGCACTCTTTTGGTTGAATGTTTGGTAATACTCAGAATAACACATACACCATTCCTTCCTCATCAGTCTCTAGCCACAGACAGGCACACACATGCTGTAGTCATAGATACATGTCAGCACAATGTTCACACTTCTCTTTTCAATATACACTATAGAGAAACGAGAGATGTTTTTGTGCTGGTTTTATTGTTAGGTTTTTAAAAGATCCATCACCCCGAAGGAAGAGAGGTGTGTGTTTCTATTGTGTTTCTTTAAGTGTAATCCTCAGGGAGTCAAGCGGCAGTAGACTGTGCAGTATGTCTCTGAGGATTTGTCCATTAAAAGCATAGTTAACCTAAGAATGAAAATTCAGTCATCATTTACTCACCCCCATGTTTGATGTCATATTTTCCACACAACTCATTCACTGTATTCCAAAGCTTCTAAGGTCACACAATACGTTTTGATTGAGAAACAAAACGCAAATAGAAGAGATAGTCCACCCACAAATGAAAATTATATCAGCATTTACTCACGCTCATGTTGTTCCAAACCATTGGGAAGCAAACAAGCCCATTGACTTCTATTGTCAATGGAACATTGAACACTGTTTATCATTCTTTATGTTCCACAGAAGAAATAAAGATGTGCAGTTTTGGAACAACAGTGAGTAAATGATGCCAGAATATTAATTTTTGGGTAAATTATCTACCATGAGCTGTGCAAAGAATTACTTTTGTGTTCCACTGAAGAAAAAAAAAAAAAGTAGAATATGAGTTGGGAATGAGATGTTCACCTACATTTGGGTGCACTGTTCCTCTACAGCATTGTGTTACGAACTCCCCTGTCTAGGGTAGAGGAGAAGGAACAGATGAAATTAAATAAATAAAGAATTCAAATAAACGAAACAAACTGTACGTCTTCAGAGCCCCTGTCTCCCATCCCAGCACTGATTCAACACCCGAACCATAAATCAAGCAAAAAAGATTTATTTAGGGAACATAGGAAAAACAGTAACAAAGAAAACGGAAGATCTTACATGGAAGCAATTAAATTCAGGAGGGGGTAATGGCCAAAATAACAAACAAAACATAGGTCTAACTATTTTAGTAAACTAAATAACCTAAACACAAAATAATGATGCAAACAAAAGACAATACTAAACCTACCTCCCTTACTACGTATAAACAGGAGAAAAAGTATATAAAACAAATGGCACCCACCTCCCTACAGCTTCCTTAAATTAAAATATAAAGTATTGAGAAAATAGCGAAACAAAACATGAAACAACTTGCCCTGCACTCAGGGGTTCAATGAAAAGAGTCCTAGAACAATCAACAACAAACAAAAAAAGAAAACCACACGTCTGCAACAGGCGACAGGGACTCTTAGCAAAAGAGAGACGGAGGAAAAACCTCCTGCCCCTCAAGCACTGGAAAACTAGCCGGCTTTTATGGTAGGGCACACAGTCGCAAGAGCGAATCAGCAGAGGTTGACACTCAGGATCGCTGGTTAACAACAGGTGTTGCTACTTAACCTAGGAAAGCAGAAACAATGGAGACACACAACAGGCATACACAAGAATATGTACAATGACGTAACAGTTGTATTGTGAAAGCACATTACAATGTTTAATTTATTAAATTCATAAATCTTAATGTCTACATTGCTTGTTCTTGCACACAGGCTGACTAATGTACTCAAGTAATGCAGCCAAGAACATGTGCTTCAGCTGAAAGGTAGCGGAAGGCCGGAAGATAAAAGTACCCATGAGTACAGTCAGAGATACTCATGAGTTCTGAGGGGGTTTCTTCTTTTATTCTGGGCTCGATTAAAGCAGAAAGAACATGTCCTTGTTTTCCGGATAATTTTGGCCTAGTTGTTGTTCACAGTGGTTGAGAATAAGAGCAGTGTTGCTCCCTTAGGCTCCATTTGATCTCAGGTTCATAGAAAATGCCTATGAAGCTGGTCTAACACGTAGCTGTGGTTGTTTGCTATAGCACTTCAGCATCAAACATCATGACTATCATATCAAGGCTTTTAATTCACTGTCCCCTAATTGGTTAAAAAGTAAATTTGGGTTGTTTGAGGACCCCTTTATTAGGCTTTGATGCATTTCTCTCTCATAGTTAATGTTGTCTTGCAGCTGTAGATGTCATCTTGAGGCAGTACAGTTCAGTCATTAGTCACTATAGACAGCTTAAATGTAGAAAAGACACAACCATCCAACAGATGTGAGGAACAATCAACCCAGCCTTTATGAGTGCCGTTCATCCACCCTTGGGCCCGGAAGTAAGTGTTAGTCAGGGCCTGTCATTCCTCTGGTGAAAGGATATATGTATGTAAAGCTGATCAGGGCCACGGTGTCAAAGCCTTTCCTTAATTTCCCATCTAGCGTCATCATGGTTGGCGTGGATCTTAAATCTAATTTGGAGATCTATTTGTAAGGTAATTGATTACTGTATAATAGAGAGCAGGCGATATAGACGATAAAAGTTATATCTCAACATTCTTGTGTGTATGTATATACACGCATAGGCTTTGGGGTTAAGATATTAATTATTACTTTTATTATTACCTGACCAAAAGTGACAGTAAAGACTTCTGCATTGTTACAAAGTATCACGTGTTCCACAAAAATATTAAGCATGCACAACTGTTTATAACATTGATAATTATAATAAATGTATTTGAGCACCAAATCAGCATATTAGAATTACTTCTGAAGGATGTGGCATTGAAGACTGGAGTAATGATGCTGAAAATCCAGCTTTGCTTCACAGGAATAAATTACATTTCACAATATATTAACACAGAAAGCTGTTATTTGAAATGGTAGTAATATTTCACAATATTACCATTGTTACTGTATTTTTGATCAAATAAATGCAGCATTGATGAGCCTAAGACACTTAATTTCAAATCATGTATAAAATCTTAAGCACCCCAAACTTTTAAAAGGTATGTGTATGTATACTTAAAAGTTTATATATACATATATAAAAACAGTAATAGCTATATTTTAATTGTTTGAAATTATGAAAAAAAAACAAGCTTTGTCAGAGAATATCAATATATAGTGTAGAATTTTCAAGATATAACTAAAACAATTCTGCAATTGTGAACAATTAAAATGTCACAAACTCATGAATAAATTTGAGGATCCATACACTTTAATAATCTTAAGTTTTCTGCTGTTCACATGGGATTCTGTTATGAGATATAGGTTTGGTTTTTACTTGATGAGTAGCAGAATGCAGTGGTGAATTGTGGTGGGTTTGAGCTGCGCTCATGGTTGTCAGTTTCTGATTACCCAATGGCCTTCATTGAGATTCCACACATAGCAGTGAGGACAGCGTGTAGAGGCCTGCTTGAGTCTGTCTGACTGCTGCTGCCTCACTCTTGATCATCAGGGAGTGTATATGGTATTGAACCACTTGGAAGACACTGTTTAGCTTTGTTTTCTTTCCATACACGACTTGAATACCCTTGTGGTTATGGCACACACTTACTTGAATAAGCTGCAGCAACAGCATGGCTGTTTGGAACGTTGCAACAGAACACCTATGAACAATCGTATTGGCTCCACCTATGCTGGAGTTACCTCTCATGATTAAAGTCAGTGTAGAATACCACCCATTTACCTTCTATAATCAGACATATTTGTGAGTGAAACAGTATATTTGGTTGCATATATTGTAGAGCAACACTTGATCACACTTGACACTAGATTGTGAAACAGAAGAGATTTAAATGTCAATTTGATTCCATGTTGACTTAAATAATTAGCTTTACTCTGTCCGTCCCACAGGTGATATGGCGTTTAACGTGCGCTGGTTCCAGAACACAGACCGGGCTGTAGAGAACGGAGTCCAACCTCTCATCAGTATGGACCGCTGGGGAGTGGTAACGAAGACCGGCTCCAATGACACCAGTCTGGAGCGCACTGACCAGCACACATTTATCCTCAGCTTGCACAAGATTCAGGATAGAGATGTGGGAGAATACTACTGTGCTGCCACACCCTGGCTCCTGTCCCCTGCTACTGGAGCCTGGAACAAAGAGAAGGACCTCATCTCCGCTTCATCATTTCTGTTTATCAAAATAGAATGTAAGAATCCTGGTTATGTCTAGAGTGAAAAAGATAGCAAGCCTGGAAAAACTTGTTACATCGATTTCCAACCCTGCTTCTGGAGAGTAACTGTCCTGCAAATTTCAGCTCCAACCCCATATAAACACTCCTGAACCAGCTACACAGTGTGTTCAGGGTTGCTTGATAATTACAGGCAGGTGTGTTAGAGCAGAGCTGGAACTTAAGTCTGCAGGATGGTAGCAGGATTGGAGACCCCTACCCTGGCCTGAACAAATAAAATGTCCCAAAAAATTGTATGCTTTTGCATGTGAGGAACTGATGACTTCATATCGCCTCTTCAGCGTTTATGTTCTCAAAGACTGTGGGAACTCAACATCCCCAGTTGTTCCTTCCAAATGTTGCTTCCATAGCTTTTATATTTTCTCATATCTGGTGTCGTTATGAAAGTTTGTGATTGCCAGTGATCATTCTGTTTGTTATTCTGCAGTGTGGGAATCTTTGAAGATGCCGGTCGGATACGGTTTGACTGCTGCTGTGATCGCTGGTCTTCTCTCAGTGCTGCTGGGTCTTGCTGTCGCCCACTGCTGTTTCTCCAGGAACCCCATGCACACGCCCCGTCCCCGTAACAAGCTAATGGACCTGGAGATGGATTAAACCAGTCCCCCTTTGCACCACTGTGATCCTGCCCAAAACCACTCCAACCTGACTTGATGTATTATGCTTTGGGACAGAGTGTGGATATGCACATTGCTTAACGAGAGATGGAGAACCTGTTTATATGCACTCTGAGGATTGAGCCACTCTAGCTGACTGCTCCATATTCCTGCTTGGGAGCAATACACTTATTATTCTCAGGAATAGAGCACTGACGGCCCCATCCAATGTTTTTTTTTTCCCCCTCTACACATTCTGACTGCTGATAGGATGAGAGCACTAGGAATTAAATCTTTCGTTTAGTATAAACTTGGGGCTGCACAATGGCCAAACCAGCAATGTTACAGTTTGTACATTTGATGACGATTATTTTATAGCAATTAATAGGAAGGACTCTAACGAAAGAGCCAAGAACCTGTCAGTTATGAGTGTGACAGAAACTCCAATTTTAGACTGACCTTTTAAACCGCTGCCGTCCCAGAGGCTTTGTTTGTCACATCGTCTGCGGACGTCCGTCGTGGCCCCCTCCCCGCCTGCCTGTCAGAGTTATGCCACCAACAGTGGGGAACCTAAAATGACTGACCTTTCCTCTCTGTGGTAAAGTGTAGCATTGATCCACAGGCTAAAGGAAATATGGCTGATGGATGGGTTCAAGGCTGCACTGCATTATTCTGGGCTCCAGAAGTGACCACTGGAGGGAGCAGACCCAACAGGCTGTCAGTCCGTGGCTTGGCTTTGAGCGGCCTGCCTTAAAGATTGCTTGTCTGGTTAGAGGAATTTCAAAAGCCCTGATAACTGATATCCACACTGTTGGCATTAACTCATTCCTCACTTGCTCTTTCCTGCCCACAAACAATGAGAAATGCCAATATCCATCTCAGTTTCCTGAACTTGCTTTTTGTTTTTCTTGTCAGAATGCACTCATTATGCTGATATTGACAGAACTGACCCGCACTGACATGATTGTAGTAGATCCTTTTGTACAAATGCTCTCTTTATCCACAATGTGGGCAGATAAGTATTTTCTGAGAAGGGAAGCTGTCGGTATGTGCGAGAGGTGGTTTCACTGTAGAGTGAGAGAGCTAATCAGAGCCACATTTATAGACAAATGTCAAAAGGAATTTCACCAAGATGTTTTACTTAAGTTCATTTATGGATATTATTAAATGGATGTTTTTGTTTTGTTTTTTTAGAATTTTTATTTTAGTTGTGTGAAATTTTATGCGCTTTTACCATCTCTCTCTTTTTTTCGAAGAGGCAATACGTATTTTCTGTTTGTTTTGTTAATCAATGATTGACTCACTCTAGTTCTTAATGGCAAACCAACAAAAAAAATTTTCTCAATAAAATTTTTTTTTTAAAACGTGTAACAATGTGTTGACTTGAGATTTCTGTTTATCCCAAATCTGACGAGAAACCCCTGGGAAATGCTTCTGTCTCATTTTTTAATTATTAATGAAGATGAGTTTTATATGCATGAAATTGCAGTCATATTTCTTTCCTCACAACTGACGCTTTCTGTCTTTTATTTCATTTCAATTTTACTTTCCCTCATTTACTTAATTTCACCTCTTTGACTTGAAGGCCCCTTGTTAAGTTATTTCTGGTATTTCTGCTGCAAG